GACTGAAGAAGAACTGATGTCTTTGAATTATGGTGTTGGTGAACAGTACTGAACACACCAGAGACAGCCAGAGGAACCCACAAATCAGTCTCGGAAGTCCAGCCAGAATACTCCTTAGAAGTGAGGATGGGGAGACTTTGTGTCATGTACTTTCGACATGCGATCATCATGTCCCTGGAGAAGGACATTATGCTTGGTAAAGTGGAGGGTCAGGGAAAAAGAGGAAGACGCAGATGGATTGGTACAGCAGTTACAACAATGGGTTCAAACGTAGAGATGATAGTTACGGGCAATGTTTTGTTCTGTTGTAAGTATGTAGGGTTGCTATGTGTTGGAAATGACTCAATGGCACTGAACAGATCTCCTAGGTAATTTCAATCCCCAAGATTTCTGCTCATTTGAAAATTATTTTTTGTGACAGTTTCATTATATCTATGTACTTTGAGTCAAGGACATTTTCTCTTCTGCAAAAAGAAAATGATTTCTAGAGAGTGATGCTGAGGACCAAGCTGAAGTGCAGAGAGCACTTTGCTTCTTAATTTAAAGGCCCATTTACATTTCAATATGCATTAACAAAACATTGTCACTTAGCTCCCTGCCATTTCCCTGCAAGTCACAGGGACTGAAAATTAAAGAAAGTTCTGGAAGGCTCTAAGCCGACTTACAGAATAAAAATATGATTGCCAAGTACAGACCATGCTCCTGCTTGCAAATGAAATGTCACAAACCTTTGAGTACTATCTACACACTGCCAAGTTATAAATTTAACAACCTGGAAACTTGTATTCAGCAAGGTACTCAAAGCAAAGAGCCTCCAGAACCAAATGAAAATGCTACACTTGTTTACAGCTGGTAAAGCTACAACTTAATCACATCTTATCCTACACATCTGGGATCAAAGAGTGTTTAAAGAGAAAAATAAACACGTGGTGAGACCACAGATGTTGCTTTTTGGAGCTTCAGCTCTGAAATCGGGGATTCTCAGATGTGTGTGGGGAGAAAAGCAAGATGTCCAACCATCCTGAGATGGGGATGGGGGTACCTTCCAAGTTAGACCCTGATGCGTGGGATTTCAAAACAGACTCTCCTCTTCCCACCCCATTCCTTGCCATCAAGTCAATTCCAACCCACAGCAATTCTAAAGGACAGAGGAGAGCTGCCCCATAGGAAGGATTTCCAAGACTGTAAATCTTTACAGAGCTGAGGGCTTCATCTTTTCCCGTGGAACGGCTGGTGGGTTCAGGCTGCTGATGTTTTCAGGGCTCCTTAAAGATCCCTCCAGCAAGCATGAGCTAAGGTGAGCCACAGCACCTGCTGGAGGAGGTGTGCACGCCCCTTGTGTGGGATGGGACAGAAAAAGAATGAAAGGTCGAGAGCACCTGCCGTAGAAATCTTGTGAATACGTCGTTAGGGATCAAACTGTGTGTTCCTAAAACATGTGTTGGAGTCTTAACCTTTAACCTCGTTGACAGGTTTACAGGAGCTCTGGTAGCATAGTGGTTACAAGTCGGTCTGCTAGCCTCAAGGTGAGCAGTTCAAAACTACCAGCGGTTCTGCAGGAGGAAGATGAGGCTTTCTGCTAACCTTTAACCTTGTTGAATGGTTTAGAGGAGATCTGGTAGGATAGTGGTTACAAGTTGGACTGCTAACCTCAAGGCCAGCAGTTCAAAACCACCAGCTGTTCCATAGGAGGAAGATGAGGCTTTCTGCTCCCGTAAAGATTTAAAACCTCAGAAACCCTGTGCAGGGTCACTATGAGTTAGAACTGACTCCACGGCATACCACTGCCACCACCAATCCTATTTAGAAATAGAGTTTTCATTTGCTATGTTTGCTGTTTATTGTTAGATGCCATCGAGTTGGTACCAATTCACAGTGACCTTCTTATTCACAACACAACAACACACCGCCCAGTCCTGAGCGGAATCTCAACATCGTGGCCTCACTTGAGCCCAGCGTTGCTGCCATTGTATCTCTCGGAGCTCTGTCCTTTTTTTCACTGACCCTCCTCCACTTTACCAAACATGATGTCCTTCTCCGGGGACTGGTCCCTCCTGACAATATGTCCAAAGTGTGAGAGACCAAATCTGTCCATCCTGACTTCTAAGAAGCATTCTGGCTGAACTTATTTCAACACAGATTTGTTTGTTCTTCTGGCAGTCCATGGTGCTTTCAATATACTTCCTCCAACACCATAACTCAAATGCATCAATTCTTCTACAGTCTTCCTTATTCACTGTTCAACTTTCACGTGCATATGAGGTTACTGAAAACACCAAGGTTGGGTTACTTTAGTCTTGAAACTGACATCTTTGCTCTTGAATACTTTAAAGAGGTCTTGTGCAGCAGATTTGCCTAATGCAATACACATCTTTGATTCCTTGACTGCTGCTTCCGTGAGTGCTGATGGTTGATCTGAGTAAGATGAACTCTTTGGCAATTTCAATCTTTTCTCTACTTATTGGTCTTGTTTGCTATGTTAATGAGCCCATATCCTTGTGTTATGATGTACCATGGAGTCAGTTCAGACTCCTAGCAACCCTGTACAGGGTTTCCAAGTCTATAAATCTTTACGGGAGCAGAAAACCTCATCTTTCTCCCGTGGAACAGCTGGTAGTTTTGAACTGCTGACCTTAAGGTTCACAGCCTGATTCATAACCACTACGCGGGTGGGTCTTATCTAAACCTAATCACTTTTGAGTCAAGGGAAGAACAGATTAGACACAGAGGAGAAAGCACAGATTGGAGGAAGCAGGCATCACGTGAGAGTCACCTACAAGCCAAGGAGCCAAGGGGCAACCAGGTAACTGACAAGGAAGGAATCGATGTGGCTGGTGTTCTGACTCGGACTGCTAGTGTCTAGAACTATGGGAGAATAAATGTCTGTTCTTTAAAGACACCCACTTGGGGTATTTCCAGGACAGCAGCACTGTGTAAAAAACAAAGACGAGCAGAACAGGAGACGCTAGGACCACACAGCCTGAACACCTAGACAGAAAGGATTGAGGTGAAAGTGAAAACGTTTGGGCAAGGTTTAGAGTGGTTAAGAACAGGCTAGAAGAACCTGACGATCAGCAGTTTATGAGGGAAATTTTAAGGATCAGAATAGATCACTTAGGAAAGTCTTCACTGGCTGATTTAAAAAGAAATGCTTTGGAAAGAACCAAGAACCATATTCAAGAAATGCTGACCATTAACCAGTGAGATACTCAAGTTAAAGTGAGCAGGAACAAAACGGGCTAATGACAACCTGAGGGAAGACGTAAGCAGATAGTCACCTGGAGACACAAGGGAAGGCCATCTACGAATTTTCTTGGTTCCGTATCAACAGAGGAACAGAAAAGCAGAGATGAAGGGCCAGGAAATGGTGAATCATTCGCTGTCTGGAAACACTCATTTCAAGCCAGAGCCTCTAAGTCAGACACCAGGGAGCCCTGGAAGTGAGGTGGTTCAATGTTTGACTCCTGCCTGGAAGGATGGCAGTTCTAACCCACCAGCGACTCCACAGAAGAAAGAAATAGGAGTCTATCCTCACAGGAAACCATACGGGGTACTTCTCTTCTGTCACATGGGGTCACGGTGAATGGGAAGCGACTTGATGGCACACAGGCTATTGCCCTTGTGGAGTAAGACCACTGAGCTGTGTGTAGCCCCCAGCAGCCATCTGTGGGCAAGGTTAGACCACGTGTCACAAGAGGTCTCTGGATGCCATGTTTTCTGTCCAGGAAGTGGGAAGGAAGCCATTAGACAGTTACACTGCCCAGCACCGTAGGGAAGAGCCTTTATGAGAAGATCATGGGGGTTTGTTGGGGGACAGAGGGAGGACAATGGTTCACAGCGGGGGCTGGAAGGCTGCAAGGCTCTTAGCAATCCCCCATAGGCAAACACTATGCACGTAGTGCCCACTGTCCAAATCAAAGCCAAATCCACCGTCAGAGAGACAATTCTGCTTCATAGCGACCTCATGGAGGGTTTCTCAGACTGTAAATCTTTATGGGAACAGACGTCGTTAAGTGCCGTGGAATTGGTTTTAAGGGGCAGCTAGCAGCCCAATGCCTAATCCATAGTCCTACCAGGACTCTTTACCAACTGTAAGGAAGTTCCTAACTGCAAAACTGACTAGCCAATGGAGAAATTAGGATATTGCCTTCTACTCTAGAAAAAGCTGCCCATCCACCGTGGCAGGCCAGCTCTGGGCCTAGGCCCTCAGTTGGCTCTCATTGAAGATTTAGTGACTGGTGAATGTTGTCATGCTCTGCGCCGACTGTGTGTGGTTTTCCCCGGCATTTTATCTGTAGTATTGCCATGGCTGAAGTCCACGAGTCAACAAACAGAAAGTTATTCTCATAGTTAAAGAGGCTAGAAATCCACATTCAGAGCACTACTTCTAGGGGAAGGCTTTCACTCTCTGGGTTCTGGAGAAAGGTGGTCTGGATCTGCTCTCAGCATCTGTGGGCCCAGCATTCCTTGGACATCTCCATGCGTACCGGGCACCATTCTTCACCTGGATCTATGAGCTTTCCAGTGCAGACACTCAAGATCCGAAGAACACACTCCACTCCCGGCTCACCTTTCCAGGTCTTAGCAGGCTCTGCTCACATCTCTCTCCTCTTCTCTCTTATAAGGTGTTGCAGACCGCACACCCCAGGGAAACCTCCTTACATGGGGGACCATCATTCATCAGGTCACATTGTGGGGAATCATTACATAACTGCCAACACCAATGAGAATCAGAGTCCAGGCAAGTGGACACATATTTGGGGGACACCAGTCAGTCCCTAACACTCAGCCAATGGAGTGAGTGAGAGGCCATCACTCACAACTCACATGGTGAAGGTTTCAACATTAGACCATGCTCTGATCACATAGTAGCAACTGCCCATGGACCAACTGGGGGCTTCATTACCCAGACACGTGCTGATGGCAAAACTTCCCTGATTATCCAGTACTGGGCATGCACCACACATGCTCCCACTCTCCAGAAACACAAAATCCCCTACCCTTCTTACCCGCCGTGCCTGGGAGGGCAGCCAGAGCGCATTATCTGCAGTGAGATCTGAGGTGTTCCGATGCGACCCACAAGACCCAAGGATGCCCTTCAGAGTTTCCGCTGGGAAGAGTTTGTATCTGTTGGTTGCATTTTTCACAGGTTCTAAGGCGTAGGTTTTATTTTCAAACATTATAAGTCCCCTGTTTAAAAAAAAAGAAAAACCACATTGCTTTGAAAGAGCAGCTTCTTATTTAGAGCTAAGATACAATTCTTAACGAGAGAGAGAGAATGAAACCAGCTGACCCATTTATTTAGTCAAAGGTTTTCATCAGAAGGGCCATTTCTGGGCCATATGTTTACATCGATTTATTTTGCAAATCTTTTGAAAAGATTGAGACATTTTTTGGTTTGAAGCATTTTATGGTAGAGAATAGACTATGTGTGCTTCTAAACAACTTGCTAAAGATATGCCAGGAAAAAGAATTGAGTGAAAAGATACTTCATCTGCTTTTGAAAATAACTACATCTGAATAAGCAGATACAATTCAGAAGGAAATCCGGTTTTTGTTTATTGTTTTTTTAAAGGAAAATTCCACAACTAAAGTATTCATCCTGATTAGCCACATTTTCGAGATATTTAGCTCTGAGGCTTACACGTGATGCTCATAGAGCAGTTGCCGTCAAGTCAACTCATGGTGCCCCGTGTGCGTCAGAGTAGAACTGTGCTCACAGGGTTCTCAGTGGATGATGTTTCATAAGTAGATCCCACTCATGGTGCCCCGTGTGTGTCAGAGTAGAACTGTGCTCCACAGGGTTCTCAGTGGATGATTTTTCTTAAGTAGATTCCACTCATGGTGCCCCGTGTGTGTCAGAGTAGAACTGTGCTCACAGGGTTCTCAGTGGCTGATGTTTTATAAGTAGATCCCACTCATGGCGCCCCCGTGTGTATCAGAGTAGAACTGTGCTCCACAGGGTTCTCAGAGGATGATTTTTCATAAGTAGATTCCACTCATGGCGCCCTCGTGTGTGTCAGAGTAGAACTGCGCTCACAGGGTTCTCAGTGACTGGCTCTGAAGGTAGCAGATCACCAGGCTTTTCTTCTGAGGTACCTCTGGGCACACTTGAACCTCCAACTTGTTGGTGAACAGCTTAGTACATTAGCTGTTCTCAGGGGTTTGATATAAGAACAGGACTACAAAGGTATGGGTTTCTGTATTTTACTTTTTTGTGGGAGACGAGTGCACAAAGGGTCCAACGTCAGTGCACAAGCCTTAGAGCTGCTTCTCAGAGACTGCCCTCTGACCTCTGATTCCATGTTGACTGAGGGTGGACAGGTCTTTGTCAGAGAGAAGAACGCCCTTGGGAGACCCCCAGGCATACGTCTGAGATAGTGGCCTTCGAATCTCCAGCTCTGCCACATCCTCATGGTGTGACCCACACAGCTCCTTTCCTTGCCCTCCCTGGGACTTGTCACTTGCTATGTCATTTAGTTAAAATGCTTAGTCCCCTGATGTCACATTCAGTGCTCAAACCACAGCAAGCTTCTCAATTATAAAGGGCAGACACAGGAACTAAGTTCGACCATGTCAGGGAGGTCCCACGCTTTGTTCCACCACCTCCCCCCCATCTCCTCTTCTGTCAGTGTGTCCTACTGTGGTGGTTTGTGTGTGGCTGTGATGCTATAAGATATGCCACTGGCATTTCAAACACCAGCGGTTCGTGCACTGTGGAATGGGTTTCAGCAGAGCTGGCAGGAGACTTCTGAGAACTGGCCAATGCGTCATGATAGATTGGGGCGCTGGCATCTGAGGCCCTGGGTTAAAGCACTCAGAACACGCATCGGTTGGAATAATGACCACGAGGACAGATGACCGTGGAATAGAGTCTGACTCACAGGGACCCGGTCCCTAGCAGGACTTCATTCTGGTGTGCAGGGGGAAACCAACAACAACAACAACAACAACAACAGTTTGTTCAACCTGTCTGATCAGAGGCATACTGAGCTGCCATGAGAATAATAAAAGGAGATCTAGTTACAGCTATAACAATAACTGAGCAAGGCTCTGTCAGCTGATGCTTAGGTTTCAGAATATAGGCGTAGCTCGAACTTATTGCAGTTCCAGTTTCAGACCACCACAGTGAAGCCAATGTCGCCAGAAAGTGAGACACATGAAGCGTTTAGGTTCCCAGTTCAGTTTACACTATATCCTAGTCTTTGAAGTGTGAAACAGCATTATGACAAAGTCTGAAATCTTGTGATAAAGACCAGAATAGGTTACAAAGTCACAACATGAGCACAGGTTGTTGGAAATGATGCTGCTCGACACAGGGTTGCCATAATCTTCAGCTGGGGTACAATAAAAGGAGCTACACTTGAGCATGTAGCTTTTAAACAATTGTAATGGATACATTTGCTCAATGTTCTCACTTGCAGAGACAACCGGGAGCATCAGCCACGGACTTACTCTTGTCTAGTGGTCTGAAGTAGGGCCGACTGAAGCCCTGTCCCCCAAGCCTCCTAGAGACGAGCAGCACAGTCTAAGGGTGTCTGTGTCCTCCAAGTGACAGAAGGCACTGGTCTCTGTCTAACTTTTATTGTCTCTTTTCTTTTCTAATATGAGGCAATTAATGGCTTGGATTTCAAAGTCTTCCTGAATTCAAGCTCTCATAAAGCTGTTGCACATTTCATTGACTGTTGTGAAATGCCATCAAGTCAATTCCAAGGAGCAGCTGTGGGTTTGAACCACTTACCTTCTGGTTTGCAGTTCAGAGCTGATCCTACAGCACCACACTAGGAGTAGTGTAAATGTAACTCACTTTATGGTGAAACCACACCAGGAGTAGTGTACACGTAACTCACTTTATGGTGAAACCACACCAGAAGTAGTGTACACGTAACTCACTTTATGGTGACACTCACCCCATTGTGGTAGTCTGAAACTGGAACTGTAGTAACTCTGAGGCATGCTTGGATTCAGGAACCTAGATGTCAGTTTAAAGAGTCTTGCTTAGTGGAAGGAGAGACTTTCTTTGGAGATCTGGTCATTTGGGAAAGTGGCGGTAAGCAGAGAGCACCTCTCAGGGTCCCCACACATCTATCACCTTCCACTACAAGGGGGTCCCCACCCCTATCTTACAGCAATGCTCAAAATTGTCACACCAAATTCAGCTGACTGTAAACAGACACTAACAGTGACTTCTAGCTTCTTTAGACTCTCGGAATAACTGACATAGGAAATTCTGCAGACAATGTGGGAGAGTCAGGGGCTCAGGATGAAGTCTGTGGATTCCAGGTCCAGGGTGTTGCTGCTGCTGCTGCTAAATGTTGTTAAGTATCAGTTCTAACCCATAGCGACCCTGTGTACAGTATGATGAGCAGCTGATGAGCTTGAACCGCCAACCTTACAGTCCAGCACATTAACCCAGAGCACCACACCAGGTATCCTTCAGGTCTAGAGTAAGTCAGATGTAACACACACAGGCATCAACCCAAGGGTCTGACGATACCTTCGTCTCCAAGGACGAGTGATAACATTGGGTCCAGTAGTTTTCCTCAGACGTTCTGAGCCTGTTTCCAATCGAGGAACTTGGTGTGTCCCTATGTCCTGCTTTAGCGTCCAGTTTCTTTCTCTGTCTGCACTTCTTACTAGCCCATATCGGTGACAATGTATCTGTTCTTAAATTGTAACAGTGTTGTTGTTGTCAGGTGCCATCCAGTCGGAACCGACACATAGCGACCCCATGCACAGCAGAACGAAACAAAGTAACAGTATAGCAGTATATAAGTCTTTACATGGTAAGGGACAAAGACGTCTGAAATAGTCAAACATAGGGATACCTCAGACATACTCTGGGTTTGGTTCTAGATCACGCCACAAAGCAATTACCACAAAGAGTTGAGTCACACGAATGTTTTGGCTTCCTAAGCAAGGAAGAGTTATGCTGACCCTATATACTGAAGTCTATTACGTGCAATGTTGTTGTTAAGTGCCGACGAATCAGTTAACCCACAGCGATATCACAGGAAAAGTGTGAAATGTTATGAGAATGACAGAGCATGGCAGAGAGACGTGAAATGAACACATGCTATTGGAAAAACGGCGCTGATAGGCTGGTTCCATCAGCTGTAACAACATTCCAGTCATGGCAAGAGTGATAAAACGAGATAGGCCAGCATTTCTTTTGTTCACTGCTAGTGAGTGAGTACACACTGGACTCCTAGTGTGGGATTGGAGGGTAAGCACTATTCAGTTTGAACCACAAGGTCAGCAGTTCAAACTCACCAGCTGCTCCTCAGAAACCCTATACAGGATCACTATGAGTAGGAACCCATTCAAGGGCATTTAACAACATCCATTATTATTCAATGGGCTGACTCCCCCCCGCCCCCCCATGACGTGTTTTTTGTGGTATTGGCATTGTAGGAGAGACAGAAAGGTCCTTTCTTCGAGGTCCTTGTACCGGAAGGAAAGGAAACCACGCACCAAGACACATCTAACAATTAGAAGCCATTCCAAAGCTAACAGTGCCTACCAACCTTCAGAACACTCAACTCTTCAAAGCTGAGGAGCCCAATGTGGTTTGGAGTGAGAACTTTCAGATATTTTCAAATCCCACAGACTGATTGGAAGTCTGTATATGTAACTGCCCTCTTGTGCTCTCCCCTCCCCCCAACTGGTGTCTGGGTACGTCTCTAAGAAGAGACAGAAACATGACAGGTCCTTGTTCTGGGTGTGGGTGACAAAGGCTTGCATCAATCTCCTTGAGAAAAAAAAAATGGAGATTTTTCAGTTCAAGAATGGGTAACATTTTGCTTTAAAAACCTTTAAGAAATAAAACCTAAAAAAAAAAAATAATTAGGCAAGGGGCAAGCAGAATGAGAGTATACATGAAGGGAAAGCTCAAGCAAGCGAGAACACAGGTTTTCCTGCCCTAAAAAGCCAATGGAACCAACACTTCGTTTTGCATTGCAACTCTTCCTATTATTCTGCAATGGATTTAAATAAGCTGAACTCTTGGAATCAAACACGTCAAGCTCTAATCATGAGAAGCCAATTACTGAGAAAGTTTTCCTACTTAATGGAAAATTTCTAGAAATTGTTACTTAGTCATAAAAATATTCTCATATCTCCTCTTATCTTTTAAGTCATCCAAAGACCAGATGCTGAGAGACCGGGTGAAGGCCCTCCCCGCGCACCAC